AAGTTAACCCAGAAAATGTTTTGTTTATTTGAGGAGGAGAAATCTTTTTCATTTTGTGTACTAGTGTTAGCTTTGACAAAGTTGGATTTTTTTTCTGCAAGCTTATCTGCAATTCAGCCAAAGAAAATATTTTTTTTGTTCATCTGATAAGAGATCTTCCAAGCCATCTGATTGGTTGATAACAACCTTGTTTGTTTATTTAAAGGGGCGCAAAGAGGATGCAAAGGCCATGTAGATGTCACAGTTATTCTGCAACCTCCCTACACTCTAAAAACAACTAAAGCTCCATGATTATTGCACCTCCTTCCAGGCAGAATTACTCGCTATTTTCTACACAACCAGAGCTGTCCAGCTGATACCCAGACAACTAACAGCAATTGCTTCGGATTGCCTTGCAGCCCTCCACACCATTTGTAACCCAGTATTCCCGAAACCTCATTCATAGCAGAGATAGTTCACAATCTCAACTATCTAAATGGTGGGGCTACAGCGACATAGAAGACAATGAGCAAGCGGATCAATTTGTCAAGGCAGCAGCTCATTCCAACCCGCCGCTATCTTATTCCATTCTATCTAAAAATTTAGTTCGAGCCTGTAGCGAACATGTTCCCTCCAACTTTGGGATGAACTCTATGCCAAAGATCACTCCACAAGAAACCTCAAGAGAATAACTGCCTCCCCAAACACCTATTGTGATCCTACCCAAAATGAAATTTTGTGGCACCGCCTCTACAATCCTCACAGGACACAGTTTTGTCAAAGCCGATGCTACAAAATATCAAAAGACGACTCAACCTGCACACATGGCCTCTAGGAAGACCAAACTGTTGACTGTAATATATTAGCTAATTAATTTAATATTTGTTTTATTTAATTGTTTGTGCACAGAGTTAATTATGATAATTGTGTGGATATGTATGTAGGATTTGATTAGGAAGAAGCTGGCAACACGGAATCAAGAAGAGCAGAAGATGCGCTTACGATGACAACCGAAGAGTAAGACTTTTTACTTTCTCTTTTAACTCGCTTTTAAATTGTAAACTTTAAAATAAATCTATTTATATCTACTCCGTTTCCTACATGTATATATATAGTGTTTTTGTATATAGATGCGTGGGTATTTCAGTGTGGAATCGTGTTAACTATGTTTGTTGTTTGCATTATAAGTAAATAATATTTTCAAGTCTTCTGGCTAGAATATATTGCATTGACCACCTTCTCTTCAGATGCCCCGCTTACCATCTTCATAGGTTCCAAACAGCCACCCTCCTAGGAATAAGCACATTGACCCCCCTGTGCAGAACATTCCCAAGTACAAATCAGCCTGGTGACATCTGATAACTGGATGTCTGCTGCCACTATTCGATATTAAGTCTAAAGACCAATCCGATAGTTGGCGACTTAAGTACACTCCAGGATTCCAGGTTACATTAAGAGAGGGAGGGAGGCGAAGATCTTTTTAGTAAGCCAGTGAGTGTAAGCCGGACACTTATAGTGCTCTAATTTCCTTGTGTTGTCACCTCAGCTCTAGACACTCAATTTTAAAGACCTAATAAAGTTAAGTATTGTATTTTTATTTAATTATTGTGAATGTTTTCAAAAATCTTTGTCATGCTTTATTTTAGTTACATTTGGTACTTTGTCTATGTGTGTGAAGTTAGGCCTACATTTGTTGTACCCTCTCTCTCTCTCTGTATAAAATAACAAATTGTCGGTAGTTTCTCACAGCCACGGGAGATGTTACTGTAATTATAATAAAATATACAGTTACGAGCATCATTCTTCATCTCTTAATCAGTCATCAGTTTTCATCTCTGTCACCGTTTGCTTTTTTTTGGAATGGCGCCCTCTTATTGGTTGGCTACGGTCACGCCACCTTTGCCTCCCCACTAGCTATTTCGTCTTTGCAACTATTGTGTTGGAGCGGGTCGCTCCCTAAATAAATGCATATATTAGATAATAACCAAATGGAATCCTCTCTTTCTTTTTCCCAGTAAGAGACGCCTACGGAAGCCAACAATACATAGACAGATAAAGCACATAGGCTATAGTTATTAACTAACATATGCATTTATTTAAGGCGCCAATATATAATTGTAACAAATAATATTTGAATCAAAACATTCAATCGTGTATATATGTATCGTAAAGATAGAGGTTACCTGGCCGGAATTCATAGTTCTTCAAATTAAAGATACTTTGGCCACTAAATCTTTTTTATTGTCTCGATGTTTCAACAAAAATCTTTTGTCCTCGTCAGGAGCGAACAAAAATTATAACATTTGGCAAAGCGTTAATTTAATTATTCTATAGAATAATTTTTAACGCTTTGCCAAATGTTTTAATTTTTGTTCGCTCCTGACGAGGACAAAAGATTTTTGTTGAAACATCGAGACAATAAAAAAGATTTAGTGGCCAAAGTATCTTTTATTTGAAGAAGTGTATATACAGTATAACCTCGTTAATTCGACACACGCAAATTCGACACTCTACCTTAATTCGACCATATTCTGATGTCCCTACCTCCGGCCTATCAAATAACAAACCGTAATTCGACAGTATCGATAATACGACAATTCCGATAGTTCGACCATTTAAAAATTCGAATTTCGACAGTTGAATGTTTTTTTTTACATACAACTTTACCGTTAAACGGTATTATGGCGGCGACGATCGGCATCGGCGGGCGCCGATAGGATCGCGCCTGCGCACTTTTGGTTTCTGTTAGTTTAAGTTTCACTTTGCAGTGCCGTTGCGCAATGTCACGAGTGTTATTGTTTTTTTTTTTTACGCGGGAATTTAGGCTTTGTGCGCTAATTATTAATATTATTTTCTTTTTAATTTTCAGCATTGAAATATTTTAGTTATTTTAAAATTTGCAAATAATTTATTTTTAAATAAATAAACCTTCATAAAATGTAGACACAATTATTATGATAACATTTTATTTCAATATTCCATTTCCATGTTATTATAAAATATTTAAACAAAATCAATAACACCTGCAGCAGCAGTGGATGCCTTTAATACAATAAAAGCTCTTTGTTATTTAAAACACATTCCAGAGGAAGAAAGACATGCATGTTTTTTTTTTTTTTTTTTAAATAGGCCATCTGGAATACATTTTGAATAGGATTTCAGTGAAAAAACAGACATCTATAAAGGAATTTTTAAAAAGATATATATATTCATGATTATTTTAAAATATTATTTTTAAATTTTCTTTTTATTTTCCATATTTATTTCCTTTCAACTGCTATATTCATCAATTATAATAAATTTTATTTGTAATTATTTATGCTTCAAAAATATGTATTATTGCCATTTTATCCCTGATACTAAAAGTTAATCATCAAAATAAAAAAATAAATACAAAAAAAGTACATACAATGGTTTCAATTAATATCATTAATTTATATTACAAAGCAATTTTTTAAAAATGTTATTTTTGTGAGTTAGATGATTAGCTAATCATCTAACCTTAATTCAACACTTCCTTTAATTCAACCGAAAGCTCTGATCCCTTGGGGTGTTGAATTAAAGAGGTTCGACTGTATATATATGTATGTAGTATTTACTTTTTTTTAAAGTCAATTATTTATAACATACGAGAGAGCATTAAACAATCAGTTATTTGAGAATGTGTCAGACCCAAATATAAAAGCAAAAAGGGTTGTATTGACAATGATCTGGCATTCAAGCCATTACAAAAATAAGAAGACTTCATCAGGTTATCACACAGACTTTCCGGCAATTCAATTGGCAAATGAGAGACCATGGCCTAAAATAAAACTACTTCTGGTCTCTCATTGGAGGTTGGTTTAGACCAAGTCATTCACATTTTTGAAACAAAATATGGCTACTTAAGGAGATAATTGCTCTAGGAAGGTTTAGTTATGCTAGAATTTTTAAAAACCTATTCCGTTGAACCTCATGATAACAATTCCACTTGTGACTAAGATTTTAGGTTGTTATAACACCATGGTTATAACAATTGGAACTTATAATATGAAAGGATTTAAAAGCACGAATGTTTCTTTTATACATAATACAAACTTCCACTGTCCTTACTGAGATGAAAAAACATATTGGGAGGGTTTGGCTCATCAGTGGTGAACCCTCCTCGCAGTTTCGCCAATTTAATCCACCAGACCGCTTCTCAGAGCTCTAATACTGTATTGGACAATTCTGCTTATATACACAGCACTGAAGGGTGGAATCTCAGAAATGGTTTTCAAGAAAACGATGGACATAAGTTTATAGGACTATAGAATAGACTATAGGACTATAGAATTACCTTCAAATTGGAACTTATAATTGTGATTTATTAGGACCAAGTTGGTGTTATAGAGAGGTTTCACTGTATAATGTGATTTCTGTTTTGATGGGAGAGTTCTACTTGTAGCAGATTCAAAAATAATGAGTAATGGCTTCTTTAAAATGTAAGAAATGAATATGTCCTGAGCAAAATTTCATGTTGAGATTGGCTCAGCCTTTTTCCTCTCTACACATCTCAAATTTAGATTTTGTCCCAAAATCACTTCCAACAATATAAGGCATGTTTTAAAAAATAGATAGATAGCTACTGTACATTGTTTGATGCTGGTGGCATAAAGTGATTTTTTGACAACCAGTTTGCCTTGAGATTGAAACCTGCATTGAACATTTAAAATTGTTTAAAAGTCCCTTCTTCACCAGTGAGTGTAAGTAAACTAACTCGGGTATCGTTTAATTGGGAATTAAAATGGATTTCTACCTGGGAAGCCATGTGATATATAATACAGTTGTGTGTGATACCCACCATGGTTATCATTGGCCTTGCACTGTGTCTATTTGGGATTAGTAAAAAAAAAAAACATTTCACATACCATTTATCTTATGTTACATTTCACAAAGATGAATTTGAGGTGAAAAATTTTCAGATTTTGTGCCCATATAGTTTCATTTCAATAAAAAACTCAATTCATTTAGCTCTTTTTTGTAGGTTCTCTCATCTCTATTGAGATAGTCGAACACAATGAAGGTTTGTTTGTCTTAACCCTTTCCTAAAGGTAAAAATACACACAGAGTAATACTATGTTTGCTAAATCTGCTCTTGTTCTGAATTTGGCTTTTTTTTTGTATGCTCCTTCTTACATATCTCAATTGGGATAACTCTTCTTCTTTCTTATCTCCACTCAATCATATTAGGGTGTCAAGCTTGTAAAGCTTGAGACTTTTGATGGTGTTTGCTGGGGATGAGTAGAGCTCATCAATGGATGAGTCAATACAGTCAATAATGTGTTTTGGGGTTGCAGGTTGAGAATTGCATTGGGATAACTAATCTAAATGAAGCTTTAACATTCTGTCATATAAGGAGAAGAGTTTTGACATGGCGAGGTCCTGGCAACTCTGCAGGTGCAAAGTCCTTTCTACCTGTGTAGTTGAACTGTTGTTGTAACCTAGTTGCAAGGTGCTCTTATAATGAGTTCCACTGTTGTGTGTTTGTTGAATTTACAGTGGCAACCAACCCACTATCATGTGTACAGTAGGAGAGATACCAAAAAGGGTGTGTTGGTTGTTGTTTCTTATCACCTTGAGCAAAGATTACACAAATTCCATGAGTCCATGCTCCTTGAGCCCAAAAAGGGTGTTTTGGTTGGTAGAGACTTACCGGATTGGGCTGGACCAGGTCCGCTCCCACCATGAAACCTCGCCCCTCGTCCGGCGAGGAGACAAGGCTGTTGGTGGAAGGAGTCCTGGGCAGGGGAGGAGGCTGCTCAGACTGGGGGGACTGCTGGGACCGTACTTTGAGGTTCTTGGGCTTCAGTTTGGGTTTGGGCTTCCTGGGGACTTCCCCATCTTCTAGGGCTACATAGAAGCCCTTGTCCTCACTGCTGGGAGACGGGGTCTCTGGCTGTGGGGCAGGTGGGGAGGGAGTGAGGACTTTGGGCCGGGTCACCCTGAATGTCTTCCCCAGCACAGGCTTGGAGGGGGGCAGAGGGGCTTCTTCTTCTTCTTCCCGGGCTTCTTCCTCATCATCAGGCACTGATACCCGCGCGGCGGGCTGAGATGGCGGCAGAGACTCCTGCTGCAGATGCTGCGGCGGACTGCTATACGTGAGGGGAGGGTGATAGAGGTTGTTGTAGTAGGGTCCGGGCATGGGGTGCAGGGAGAACCCAGCTGGCTGGGTGGCAGGGTAGGGCTGAGGGTAGTGCAGGAATTGTGGGGGAGGGTAGGGCTGGCCCCATTGGGGCTGTTCGTTGTTGTGTAGGTAGAAGTGTCCGCCCGGCTGCAACCGTTGGATTCCAACAGTCAACTGGTCCACATCTCCTTGATCCTCACACCTAGGCCTGAGGTCTTGTATCACAGCTTGGTCACAGGGAGCATAGGACACCAGGTTCAAGGCATTGGTGCCCCTGTTCTTTGAGAGGTCAGCAAAACTGGTGATGGCCCGGTCCGGGGGATGGAGCCGGAACTCTTCCACCCACACTGGGGACCTACGGGAGGGCGGGGTATGGTCCGTGGCAGAGTAGCTTGGACTGCTGCTGCCGCCCAGCGGCGAGACTGTCTCCATCTTGGGGGAGGGCAACCTGGCCACAGTGGGAAGCATTACACACTCACTCTAACATTCAATCAAGATATTTAAGCAAGTAAAGGAGCGAGACCGACTATACCTTTGACAAGTGTTGATTTATCAATGGTCTTCACCATTCCTAGGATATAGAAAGATGCAATTAAAGATGCATAGTGCATAGTGTTGCTCACTCCTAAACTGTTCAGAAGACAGTAGATCTAGACTGGAAGTCAGCAAACAGCAGTAACTGCCAGTACTTACATGAGGAGAAAGACTGCCTCTGTGACCACAATATTGTTATAATTATGGTTACAATATATATGCTACTAGGTGGAAGGTAACCAAATATACTTCTGGTGATGTAAGCAATGACATACATTCATTACCACAGGATTACGGATTTCAACAAATTACAAAAAAGTATAAGACACTGCAACTCTTTTTAATTACTTGGTTAAAGAAGCTTTCAGGCAAGCCATTCTTCAGCTAACTGGAGAGACTCTCTCCATTACCTTGATAAGGCACAATTTGGATTATCTCTATATATATAAAAGTCAATGTCTGTCTGTTTCACGATAAACTCAAAAACTACTGAACCAATTGGTACCAAATTTTGCATGTCGCTTTTTATAAACCTGAGGAAAATTTTCGGCTACATTTTGCTTAGTATTTTTGGCTATTTCTTTTTTTTATTTGATGAACTTTTTTTTTACGCAGAGTAAATAAGAGGCAGAATAACAACACGAGGCCAATTAAGCGACCAGTGAGCGTTCTGCATTTCTTTTCAAGTTGCTTGCGTACTTTTTTTTAAATATCTTTTTATACGAGTGTCCCTTTTTTTACAAAAAGTATTGAGAGAGAAATTTATATTACTAAGTTACGGTAAGTTCACACAATGCAATTTAAAAAAAAAACTTTACAAAATTAACGTTACTGTATGTAAACAATGGCTTTCTTATTTTTATTAATTTTTGTTCTGGCCTTTGTTTTTTTTTTTACAGTCAATATGATATATAATTCTTAAAATTAAACAAACAATAGTCAATATGCAAAAAATACAGTAGTGAAAATTTAATATGAATTACTGTCTCATTTAACAGCCAAAACATGTGTTTGTCTATAATCCATATACCCTTTGGTTTTTATCAGCCTAAAATATTAACATGGCTATTTTGGCATTAGTTTTTTTTTAGTATTATTATTTTTTTCTGACATGTTGTGTGATAGGGCACTACATTTTACAAAGTTACAGTTAGTAAACAATGCAGATTTGACAATATTTACAAACTTTTATTACTGTATGTAAACAATGGGCTTATGTTTTGTCATTGTTGTAATGGCCTTTGTTTTGTTATTCTTTTTAAAAAAATCATATGTTTCATTGATAGTTCAAAATTTAGTCTGTTGTTGTCATATATTTGCCTAAGTTCCATGTGCCCTTTTATTTTTATTGAACATTTATTAACATGACTGTATTTTGGCTTGCATTTTTATAAGCCTATATATATTTTTTTTTCTTACTGAGAGAGATGGGGAATTATATTAGAGAGCCTGTCTCTCCTCACCCTTCCAATTATTTTACTATTTTATTCGCTTGCCATTTCTGTATATTTTGTTTGTGGTAGTTCTATTATGCTGCTTTCTTTTTGTCTACGCAGATATTAGGCTAGGGAAAAAAAAATAGTTGAGCATTCTAAAGATTGACCTGTTTGACATGTTTTGCCATTACATTCGTTTTTTTAGCCTTATTTTTTTTCTGCTGAAATGTTGAGAGAGAAATTTGTTTTAGTTACCAAGTTATGGTTAGTGAACAATGTTGTTTTGATATTTACAAACTTAATGATGCTATGTGTGGACAATGTTTAGTTATTGTTGTGATGGCCTTTGTTTTGTTACTTTTCTTTGAATATGAGATAATATTATTATTAAAAAGGCAGACCTTATTGATAAGATGGGTAGTATGCTTTTTTCCCCTATAGTTGAGTGCGCCCCATCTCCCTATCTATATATATTTCCAACATACTTCTGCCTTTTCTACTAGATAATCAGTTTTGTTCTGTAACTTATTCTGATACTTTGGATTTGTTTTGGGTCTACACTGTTTTCCTTAAAAGCTTTTTTTTTTTTTTATATACAAAAATATTTTTGGTACTGATTGTGCTATTTCTGTTTTTTTAGGACATATTTTCAAATTTAATCATCCCATTTGATATGCCTCGCAAAAGATCTGCAATTGGAGTAAGAACTCCTGCAGCTCGACGCATGGCTGCCCGAGCTACTAGAGGCCAAAGTAGCAGCACATTGGAGAATCCCCAACAGTCTCAAGCTCGCCTCCAAAGTGACCAGCAGCGCCACAGAGTTCAACGCGCATCAGAGACTCCCCAGCAGTCCCAAACACGACAGGAGGCTGACCGCTTGCGGCACTTCAGGCAACGAGCTAGCACTTGGGCTGATATGCTCAATGCTGCTTTCCATTACAATCCTGCCCTGAATTATGAACAATTTACCTTTCTTCAGATTGGCCATATGGATAAACAATGTCTACATTGTACTGCCTTTAAGTACAATGGTGAGCGGCCTGGAATGTGCTGTTCTGCAGGGAAGGTCAGAATTCCTGATTTACCTGAACCCCCAGAAGCTCTCAGAACTCTGCTCGATGGGTCTTCTTCTCACTCGGCTATAACAATGCCTTCCAAATGACATCTTTTGGGTGTGGTAGTCGGGTTGTGTTGCCAGGTTACATGCCAACGTTTAAGGTCCAAGGCCAGGTCTATCATAGAATTGGCTCTGTTTTGCCACCACTCAACTCTGATAGCCGCCAACTACAGCCAGCATTCCTTCAGGTTTTCTTCATCGGAGATAGTAGTGCAGAGGTTGCCACCCGCCATAGAAACTTTCCCATCACTAAGCCCCACATTGTTAGCATTTTGCAAGATATGTTGCATCAACATAATCCTTATATCCATTTGTTCAAAGCTTCCATTGAAAAAATGCTTTCTCCTGATTACAAGTTGGTCATTAAGGCTGACAAAGCACCGCCTGGACACCATCCTCGCACATTCAATGCTCCAAGCATTAATGAGGTTGCAATTGTTATTGTGCAGGAAAACTGTGACAGACGTGACATTGTTCTTTCCAAAAGAGGCAGTGGTGTGCAGAGGATTAACGAGTTTCACAGGTCTTATGAGGCCCTGCAATACGCATTGGTTTTTTGGAATGGTCAAGATGGTTATCATTTCCATATCCCTCAGCTGATTGATGGGGTTCCTTCGGCGCACAAGACGGTTTCTTGCATGGATTTTTATGCTTCACTGCTAATGATTCGTAGCCGTAATCCTGGCATAACAAATTGGTTACTGGCTTTTGGAGATTTGACCCATCAAATTCTGGTCGACATTTATGCCAAGGTGGAATCTGAAAGGCTGCATTACATCTCAGCGCATCAAGCTCAACTTCGTTCAACCGAATACATCAATCTGTTAGAAGCTATTCGAACTGACAGGAGTCATGCCCTTATTGGAAGACAAGTTATTCTTCCTTTGTGGGCAGTCCAAGGCACATGCATGAGTATGCCCAGGATTGCATGGCTTACGTCCGTAAATATGGTCGCCCAGGCCTTTTTATTACATTTACATGCAATCCTGAGTGGCCTGAGATAAAACTAATGCAATTCCCCACCCAAGGTGCATTTGTTCGGCATGACTTGGTTGCTCGCATTTTTCAATTGAAAGTTACCAAGCTTATAGATTTGATCACCAAGGGCGATGTTTTTGGCAAGCCCCAATGTTGGTGTTATACCATTGAATGGCAAAAGCGAGGGCTACCACATGCGCATATTTTATTGTGGCTTAAAGAAAAGATTCGCCCAAACCAGATTGATTCGATCATTTGTGCTGAAATCCCCAATGAGGAGGTTGATGCTTCACTGTTTCGGACTGTAACCAAAAATATGATTCATGGGCCATGTGGACATGGGTATCCTAATCCTGGCTGCATGGAACGGGTAGATGCCAAAAGAAATATCCACGGCTACTCTTGGCTGAAACGCAGACAGATAGGGATGGCTACCCATTGTACAAACGTCACAGGCCTGAGGAAGGTGGCTTTTCTTTTGTTAAAAGAGTTAGAGTTTTCACTGATTCATGATGATAAACATTCTCCTTTGCATTTTAGAAGATTGCAGTTCCACATTCGAGTTTCTTTTGCCATGTCGATTAACAAGGCTCAAGGTCAGTCCCTCAAAATTGCTGGCATTGACTTGGAGCAACCCTGTTTCTCGCATGGGCAATTGTATGTTGCCTGCTCTAGAGTTGGCTCAGGAAGAAATCTTTATGTTTTGGCTCCAGAAAATAAGACTTCAAATTTTGTGTATTCTTCTGTGTTGTCATGAATACATTTTTTAAAATGCTATTTTAGTCTTTTTTTTTTTTTGTTGTTTGAGTGGTATATTATTTTCATAATTCTTTCTATATACGTATATATTTGAAAGGTAACATCTCTAGAATTAGAATATTCAAGGACAGTTGCAGATTATTATGATTTACATTAATATTAGTTTTTTTTTTTTTTTTTCAGAAAAACATCTACGAATGTTTGACTGGGGTCTGAAAACATTAGATTACAGGCTGCTGGCCAGGCTTGGCCAATCACGGTCACTCTTCTCAAGCAATTTCAATCCCTATCCCTTTTTACCCAAAGAGTGTAATAGACCTACAGAGGATGCACCACTATATATAAGAGTTAACACGCTGGGGCGGGTACCTCGGAGGTTGGGTGGAAAATCTGCCAACTATTTGAACTATATTTAAAACACCTAAATGGATTGAAAAATAAATAATAAAATACCTAAATACTAATATATTGCATTTTTTGACATCACACATACTTTTTGCCTGTGATAATGTATTATGTACTTCGGTGTTGCTATTCTATGGCTCTAATACTATTTATTAGTAATGTTCTTTCAGAATGAAGGAAATTGCACTCGGGGGAATTCCCAGGCGAAGCCGGGTCATTCGTCTAGTAGATTATAAACACAAGGTAATAAGACCAAATCCAAATAAATAAATAGTGTGTGACGTTTCGGTAACAGAGTTATTACCATCTTCAGACAAAAGTACTGAATGGTATTTAGTACTGGCCATTCAGTACTTTTGTCTGAAGATGGTAACAACGCTGTTACCGAAACGTCACACACTAATTATTTATTTGGATTTGGTCTTATTACCTTGTATCTCCAATACCTTGTTTATATGTTTTAAGTTAGCTGAAGAAGGGATTGCCAGAAAGCTTCTTTAACCAAGCAAATAAAAATGGTTGCAGTGTCTTATCCTTTTTTGAAATGGCATACATTATAACAGCAACTTTGATAAGGTACAATTTGGATTATAGATTATAAATACAAGGTAATAAGTGCCTGAAGATGGTAACAAAGCTGTTACCGAAACATCACACACTATTTATTTATTTGGATTTGGTCTTTTCACCTTGTGTTTAACAACAACTTTGTTGCAACATAGTAAGGTCCTAAGTTGGTTACACAACAACATACAACCCTGGCTCCAAGTGATGTTGGTAGAGTGAATGTGGAAGATCAATTGAAAGAAGTGATCAGACCCTGCCTTAACCATTACTTAGTGTACATGTACTTGAAACCTGTGCCATTTGTCACATACATGTTTCATTTCTCTATAGAGAGAGAATTACATAGTTAAATATTTAGTTAATAAAAGGTACTTAGAAATTGGTCAAACAATGACAGACATTTCCAACACATTAACCTAAAATGATGGTAAAATGATATTTCCAATACAGTCAATTCTCCATTTAAGAGTTAATGGATTCAAGGATAATTTTAATTTAGGACCAGGATTTTCTGGTTCTGAATCTCAAATACAATTCAAGTAGAGCTAACTCATCCAAAGTAAGCCCCATTGCATTTACATCTGGGAATTTCTGTCATTTTGGCTTGAATCCATATAGAATGCGGGAAAAATTTAGAATACAATTGAACCTCCCTTGAGAGACCATTTCCTAAAAAAATGTGGTTTCTCCAATAGGTAGAGGTTGGGTTGGTTTTCTTCAAGTTAGCTTTGGTTTTGATAGAAGTGGTTGCTCATTAAGCCTTTACATATTTGTTCTTAGGTCTCACCTCTTAGGAATGTCCATGGCAGAAGTTGGAATGTGCTTGGGCCGCTCCGCTAAATGCGCAGAGAAAGTCCGCCTCAGTCCGCAGCTCTCAGACTTGCGAGACCTACTTTCTCCAGAGGAGGGGCGACCAGCTACAGGTTTGCCATTAGTTTGTTGTGGACTGTGCACACACAATAGATATATTGCAAATAAATTAGCAGTATACAACAGGTTTCTGATTTAGCCAGGTTTTTTGTATTTAGCAAAAAAAATAATAATAATAATAAAGAGCATCTGGGATATATTTAGGAGAACAACGTGAAACATGTCCAAAGAGAATGCTACTCTAGGTATTGCTGGGGGATCATGTAAAAGAATAGACACATCTCCTGGCAGAGTGGATAGAAAAACTATGCATCAGCCTGTCTCTGCTGACTCATTTATTCAACTTGCAGAGTTAGCCAATACATATTCTATTCTGACAGGAGAGGTGTCCTTTCTTTATAAAATTTCCATATCCATCAGTGAAGCAAGCAGCAGAGCCTGGGGAAAGTATAAGGTTGGGACTCACGTGGATTCCCTCCATTTAGGCCTGAGAGCATGCACAGACAGACAGGCAGCAAAGAGGCAGGTGGTGGTGCAACAGCTAGGTGTGGGGCACTCACCTGGGAGACCTGAGGTCCGGGATGGGCCTGACTTCTGAGGCATGGCTGCGAGAGGAGCCATTGATCCCAGCAGCAGGCACCACAGGGGGCGGGGGTGTGGGCTGGATGCCTGGCCTCACCACACAGCGGGCCGGCCTGATCTCAAAGAGATAGAGCATGTCGGCCAGCAAGGCCAGGGCATTGGCTCGCAGCGGGGCCTCCAGGTAGAGCAGGTCCTCCAGGGCCAGACAGCTCACCTCCCACTGCTGGCAGAACTCCCGCACCAGCAGCAGGTGGTAGATGGCATCTGACAGCCCCTCGCAGGGCCGCAGGTCTGACCACACAACTTTACATAGTGGCATCGTGTAATCTTTACACAAGGGGATAAGAAACAACAACCAGGGCCCTGTAACCAAACCCCTCATTGAGAAGTCTTTCATTAAAAATAATAAAAAATTGGTTCAATCTATCCTTAAGAATTTTTATAAATGGAAAAGTACTTCCATGTCCCCTCATTCCTGCCCAAGACCAACCCCACCAGTGAGTGTAAGTAAATGATATGATTCCAACATCTTGTAAGTGAAAAATGAAATTGCTTCTACCACGGATAAACATCCGGTGCACTTACAATATGGGCAACTACTGACTACATCATGGCCTGGACCTTGGGTGTCTTTGGGAAAATTTTTACTCTTTGATTTCTCTTTATTTTTGGCACCAAAGCTTTCAACACTGTTACCGAAACGTTGCATACTATTAATTTAATTGGATTAGGTCTTATTTTCTTGTAACTATTGTACATATAGTAGTTGTATATATCTAATTATTATTTCAAATAATAGTGCAGAATGTGTACACATTTGCATGTATTGAAAAGTTGTCAATTGTCACGAAGGATTGTGTGAAGGAGCTGCCCTCACCCTCCCAGTAGATGGAGTTGGGGCAGTAGAAGCTCACGAGGCCGGCAAGGGAGATGCCATTGCTCAGCTCCGAGAGGTCGTGGATCACAGGGAGCATGGGAATTCTCTGGGGTTGTGGCTGGTCTGTCCCACAGGTCTGCACAGGTCAGGTGATCTCTATGATGGCTTCGGTATATAACGACTATAATTATAAAGCTTTTAAACTTATTCTAAAGTACATATGGTACACACATGATCATCATGGTGGGTAGTTAGTGATTGCTTTGACGGTAAGTGCACAATTCCTTATAATTCCACATGTACATTTAGAGTAGAACATCCCAAAAAGGAGTCTAAAAATGGACTCTCAATGACAAGTCAAGGTTGGCTGATGTCAGCCATTTTTCCTGGTACAAAGATGGTCACTCATTATATTGAACACCTTTAGGAGTTTTTATTGACAGCTTTGTTTATGTTGATGAGTAAAGTCTATTAGCCAAGTGACCCAAGTCAAGTCCAGAAGGAACATTTTCTGAAGAAGCAGATAACTAGGGTTCCCTCATTCCTGATCTCTAGTGCTTTCTTTAGAGATATTTAAAATATCACTGTAGAACCTATCTGTAAAGAACTCCTAGTTGTAGAGCTAAAGTGTCTCTCTCCACAATTGTGAGAAACTCTCACTATGAACTCCTGATTCTTGGTGTGCATCCTTCATTGCTCTGCTCTATAATTGACAATATATTCACTTTGTATATAAAAATAGTATTTATCATCAATTTATTAATGTGATAATCCTGTTGAAGGACTGACAAGTCCGAAAGCTTGAAAATAAGAAGTTGAACAAGAAACTTAGCCCTGGAAGCTTTATTGATATTATAGTAATCACTGTCTTTACTCCTGTTGAAATTATGAGTGCTTCTAATATTTCAGCAAAAGGTTCATCCAAATAGGTCAAATATTGTGTAAACATAGTCAGAACAAACAAAACACACACAAAAATTAATTTATAGATAAAGATTGTGGTAGCCCCAGGAAAGTTCACTCACCGAAGCATGCCAGAGCCCCATCTCTGCTTCAATCCGATGCCTCAGTTTGAGGCAACTTTTGTTTACCCAGAGGAGGGCAGCTTCTTCGGCACTTTGTGGCATCTCAGACTCGGGGGCAAACCTCCTGCAGCACACCCCCATCCTCTACATTCAGTACCCCATGTCATATAGGATAGATATACCAGGAAGGTACACAATTTCTGCCTGTCACTGGATGGGTCCCCAGGTGGGGTGTCCACTAGATATAAGCACTAGATATTAAGCAAACTTAACTGTATCTGCAAGCTAGCTGATTCAGTACTTTGTATAAATTATACAAAGGGAGAAGTAGGATATAGGGGGATAGTTTATTGACCATCCTGGAGGGACCACAAACCTTAAAGAATGAAGGAAGAGGTAGACAAAAGAGGGATTAGTTCAATAATCTAATAGAATGGTCTGGATTTGGAAGAAAATTGCCTAGAACAGGATGAAATGGTGTTCCAAGATGGCTGACCTCTTCATTGGTGATGGCTGTAGTACATGATGATAAGATAACACCATCAGGTCTCAAAGTTTTGCAGAACTTTTATTTTGAAAATGAGAAACCTTTGGGTTGCAGACCAACACACAAACACAAAAAGAGATAAATACAATAGATACCTAGTTCAATACAGATTGGATTATGGAGAAAGTTCCAAAACTTGCATATGTCACAGGTTCATAATCATATAGTATATCTCCAAACTCCAGAGTTTGGCCATCTAAGGGAATGTTATTTCACTCTTAAGCAGGGAAACTTTCTACAAAGTAACTTTGGGGTCTGATACTGTATTAGGGCCCCTAGAACTGATAGGGAAGGTTGAGAAACAGGCTCTTATTCCATTTAAAACACAGAAAACTTCAGTAGAGATGTGTTGGAAAGAGAAATGTGATAAGAGAGATAAAACATACCTCACAACCTCCAGCACTTTATCTGGAATGAGAACCTCTTTGACATAGAGGCGTAGGATTCCCTCGATGACGACCAGATGGGCCTGCAGTCGCAGGGGGGCAGTTTGCACGAGCACCGTCTCTGTGAGATGGTCCAGTTGGTGGCCCAGATCTACTCCCTTCCTGCCCAGCAGCTGGATGACCCCGTGGTGGTTGAGTCCGTGGTAGTTGGGATCCGCATAGATGTTGGCCAGGGCCAGGCAGTAGAGGTCCGCATTGGCCAGGGCATGGACCAGCTGGGGCTTCAGCCTCTCCTCCCCCTGCTTACACCCACCAGATGGGGAGATCTTAGCTGGGACTATCTGTACATGGATACAGACACATTATCAGCCTTCTCTTCACCTCAACTTAGATACAAGCCACACCATATGGGCAGGTCTTAGCATAATTCAACTTGGATACAATAGCCACATCAAGTTTTCACAAGCCAGAGGATAGATTCACCACTTTAGCTAAGTTGAGAAAATAGGTGTAATTAGACCCCAAAAATATTCATGGACAAAGCTTGAGGAAGTGAAAAGTCTTTGAAAGTCTTATTTTTTTGAAGGAGAAAGAGCAAATTTTGTTCACACTTGGTTATCTCATGAGTCTTCAATAAAGGTCACTGTGTATCAAATATATTTCAGAGAGTTATTGTCTAAATTCCGATATACATGCTAAAAGGTACAACTTCCTTAAGTTTTGTCCATGAGTGTACCTCTAAGTTATAAGGATGGAACGAAACTACAGGCAAAGGCAATTTTCACATGGGTGCCTGGATCTTGCGATCAACAAAATCTGCACCCATCCTTTTAACCCAATGAAGATAAGTCATAACATCTTATTGCCCAAATTTTAGAATCATTGAGTACAATTAAAAGCAAATTCCACTCCATTTAATTTCAGGTATATGAGCAGAAAATCAAATATTGTAAAAAAAAAACATAATTTAAATAAGTGAATTTGTGTGGTCTTCAGAATTTGATATTGAATAGATATTGATATCAGAATATTGATGATACCAACTATTAATATATACAGTTATCAGCGTCATGCATTCTTTCTTAATTCTGTCACCGTTTGCTTTTGGTTCAGTGGTAGAATGCTCGCCTGCCACGCGGGCGCCCCAGGTTCGATTCCCGGCCGATGCATTTTTTTTTACAATTTTTAAAACTCATTTATATTATTAAAATATATGTGCTTTTCCTGTCTATGTACAGATTTATGGTCTATGTACACAAGTATACAAGTATGTATACAAGTTATTTGCAAATTGCGTGGCAAATTTGCCCTTTCGCTTGCAAGCAGCGCCTCTAGCGGTGAAGATGGGAGGTAATATCAGCTGACCTAATGGACATGTAAAACGTGTTTTAACAGGACATAGAGAAAAATCTGGAAAGGATATTTTTCGGATTTTTAGTCAAGAAAAATAAATTGACAGGTTCTGGGAAAAAAGTAGTTGTTTTTTATTCAGAAAATGATGATGACAACATTGCTGCATCATATTTGATTATCAGATACAAAATTATATCCGGAAAAATTCCAAAAAGCAGAGACCACGGGTGAAGCCAGTTCATTTTTAGTATGCAGGAACAAAATTCTCTAACAGAAAAACATTCATTCGAGCAGAAGACACAAAGCCAGATCATCTCTTTATAAAAATATCGCTTCTCAGACACAAAGTTTGGAGCGGGACGTTTCACAAGAATGACATCCATGGCGCCA